AGATTTTTTATCACCGCCAAAATATGTAACATACAAGCGGTCTGGTGATAATTTAAATTCTTGAGTTAAAAATTCCCAAGCCCATTGGCATATTTCAGTTTTAAAGTAATCGCCAAATGACCAGTTTCCAAGCATTTCAAAAAATGTGTGATGATAGACATCCTTACCAACATCATCAAGATCATTGTGTTTTCCTCCGGCGCGAATACATTTTTGAGTATTGACAGCCCGCTTCAACTTGGCCATATCTGAGGATGGTGCAACAGTGCCCAAGAATATGGGTTTGAATTGATTCATTCCTGCATTGGCAAACAACAACGTAGGATCATCTACTGGTACTACGGATGATGAATATACATATTCGTGACCCTTCTTTTCGATAAAAAATTTAATATACCGATCGCGGATCTCTTTGGCAGAAGGAACCATTGTAATGCTACTAGTTAAGCGTTTGAAATAACAAAATCAACCTGCAAAAACATAGGATTTGTTCGTGATAGACGAGCAAGAAAATGGTACGCAAATAAATTACTTCAAAACTAGTGTACAGGCATACCTTCGGAGCACAGCGAGACAACAGTGGCAACGACGACGGTGGATACTAATGTCTACCAGTGAATTAAGAAAGTAACAACTAAGCAACAAGCAACGTGTTCAAATAAAAAATTAGATCAAAGATTGTGAATTATGAATTTGAAAGTCTGAAAAACGTGTCATGATAAGACTATAATAATATAAGATCCGGGTTGATAACAAAACGTGCACGGGACTACACTTTCGCAATTTTCGGATCACTACYTTTTGTTCCACAAATGTTTCCGTGTCAACTTCTTCCAATGTTATTATTTCCAAATTTTACCTTTTTTTCCCACTCCTACTGAAATAACAATGTATGTATTTATAGTTCTGTGTTAGTTCCTAAATATTTTGTTTTAAATTTTAATGGACAATGCATCTTAGATCATGTTATACTAATATAGTTATAATATAATATTTTCAAAACCACAACTAATAGGTAACGAGTTTGTTTTCGTTTCATAAAGTTATGTTTACGTTTTGAATCGAGTCGGTTTTATAAAATGTTTCTATTTTAGAATTAAATCATCGTTGTAGTCATGTCAATTATATACATATCATAATAAATAATAATTAGAGCTAGGGTTTGCAGGCAACAGCATGTTTTTTTTGCGACTTCTGATTATTGATTTTGTCAGATATGTCCACGAATCACCTCATGATGAGATAAATTGTGGTGTTTTTATTTTGCATGTTTTTGCATATTTKGGATAAAATGCATATTAATGCATATATTGAATAAAATGAATATTATTGCATATTTCGATTATAAGAATGCGAAAAATACATGTTTCATAGTATATTTCGTAATTAATATTTATAATTTAATATTAATATTTCCATTATTTCGTATTTAATTCTAGCTCTGTTGATTAAAGTATAAAACTTGGTTTTTTTTATCAAACACAAATTGTATTTGTATAAATTATACAATCCTATGGTACAATAGGTATGCGATTAAAGATAAAATAAATTTGACGGAGAAAGAGAAACACAATTAATAAAAGTATGTCGGTCAATATAAAATCTAAGATAGAAATTAAAATGAATATTTTTGTAAATAAAATGCATATTTTACAATTTTTTATTGCATACAAATAGCCCTGATTATAATATATTATGTGTTATTAGAAGCCTTATTATTAAATCATATATCCAGAATAAAACAGATTTGGATACCAATACCTCAAAGATTTCCAACATGGCAACATCATCATGCATACGATAATGTACTCTTGTAATTTTGGCCAACACTGCTGTGTTTAGAGTTTGTACATTTCATTACAACATTAAAAATTGGAACAGTCAATATATTACAATAACAAACACCATTGGTTCTACTATTAAAGTT